CCCCAAAACCCCAAAACCCCTCAGGTAAAATAGAGTAACTAAAGAATGAGAGAAGTATAATGATAATTAATTAGTTTTGAATTATAAAATTAAGAGAGCTCTCACGTATCAACAAATATGTCAAGTTTACATGACTCCTAGAGTCAGGCATACACTGATAATGCGAATCGAGACTAGACGTCTCAGACAAAGCGAAATTTTTTGACGACAAGAAACAATTCTGAAATTTTCGGACCCTACAAGCAAAGCTATTACTCTGTGTAAGAAATAAACTCTAATTCATAATTAATAAATTTATTAATGTTTTCTTGGTAATCAAGTAAGCAAAGTATAAATAAAAACAATTGGATTTCTGAAATTAATATTTTTTAGGATTGGACCATAAGACATTTCAGATGAGTATTTAAAAGCTGCATTCGAAGGTGATCTCTACAAATTAAAGTAATAACTCCTAAATCTTCCTATTTTCTCAAGTTAATCTTTCACAAATAGTCATCTTATGATGTAATATCAGATTCCAATTCATTCAGCCGATAAAGAGGAATTCTGGAACAAAAATATGTTAGCCTTCTTTTTAGCTGTTCAAAATCTTCAAATTAAAACTTCTAATAAAATATTTAGAAAGTATGAGTTCCTCCGCAAGATTATGTTCAATCTCATTAGAGCCCATACTCTCTGTTGAGAAATTAAAGATAAAAACAAGCTCTCAATCAATCTCAATAAGTTAATAAAGGAAATAAATGAAGAAGAGAAGCCTAATGAAGAAGTTGAAGAATCTAAAATGTCAACATAGTAATAAATAAGAAGGAATGATAATGAAAGCATGAACTCCCCAGATAAAAATGAGTAAGACTATCAATATCTTTTATAATTTAACTTCTATAGTCATAGAAAGTAAGACCTCAACGCTCCCGTATTATTAGACTCTTCTAATGATGAATTTTTAAATGTTAAGAATATAAAGAAATAGGCATTTTCTAAGACTTTGAAAGAACAATAAAGTCCTAGACATCTTATTCAAAGTAGCAAAGAGGGTCTATTTGATAAGAAATATTCAAAAACTTAAATTATGAAAGCCCCAGCAAAAAGCTTCTTTCAGTAAGTTACCCCCCGAGACTCCCTTTTTTCTTCTAAATTCATCTTTTATAAAATAGAAAACTTCAATAGAATAGAAGAAGCTGCATTCATTGTTTTGAAAATATTTAAGATATCTAATAATTCATATAGAACTGAATAGGACCTGGTATTTATGAGGCACGTATTTAGTAATGATTTCTCAAGAAAGTTCAACTCCAATATTTTGAGAATCGCTTTGAACTTGACGGAAGACAGAGTTGCAGCTTACATCGTTGCTAGACTACCTGTATTAATTGATGAAAGCGTCATGAACTATGCAATTCAAAATAAGGTGCTAATCTTCATACAGTAAGTCAAAAGATATTTCATTAGATGCTTTGCTAGCCCCAAAAGCTAGCCTTTTCATATTTATTAAAATAAAAAATGATTTTCGAAATTTTAACGTTTTCCCTTTAGCAATGTATTCTTCTACAAAAAAAATCATCTGATTTAATCTGTAACTAAGCCTTCTCTCAATCTTGATGAGTATGAAGATGAGATAAGCGACATCTTCACGATGGAGATGCTCATTGCTAAAATCAATGAGTACTATGACTATTTTAACAGTGAAGAAATCCTCTCTATAGTCCTTAAATGGAAATTCGAAGCAAGGGAAAATATTCTAAAGATTTTATGCGAACTGGGTCATGAGAGAATTGCAGCTAAGTTTATGAAAGATCACTTCAAATACGCGACGAAGGAATTTTTTTACTACTGTGTTGTGAATGAGAAAGCTTACTTCCTCAAGCATGCCTTGAGAGAATAATTTTTCTAAGAAGACTACATGACAGAGAGTCAGTTCATTTATACAATTACAACAGATTTGCAAGCTGGCCAGAAAATTCTATTTAATCTAAACCTTCTGCTCTTTACAGATTTCAAAAAGTGGGATATTCTTCAACTCAAGTAAGTTATTTAAACAGCCTTAATGCAGCTAATCGTTATCTATAGAGATTTTATAAGTATGGCCTAATCATTTCTTTTGACAAATCTGGAATCTAGTTATATGTTGTAAGCTTATAATCCAATTTTGGCAATAGCTCTCTTAATCCAGTATATCAAGTAAATCAAATATGGTAAGTAAATATCAGCTTTATTCGATCTATTATTTCAACTGACAACATTTACTAACAATTTTATCAGATTTCAACGTACTTGATATCGAATGTATTGGTTTAATAAAGAAGTTCGCAGTTCTTGGTAGATTAATAATTGAAAATTTGAAATTCGACGACATTGAACTAATCTTTATGGAAAAAGATTTCAAAGACCGCTCGGTATTGAAAATCATTACTCACAATGAGATTATGACTTTTATCGTTAAGTCTAAGCTAAAGTATTTATTGGATAAAATTTGGGAGGGTAGGTACCATTCGATGGTAGATGGAAAGATCTCCCATTTTTCTAGAACATAGTTCCTAATGAACCACTCAGTCAGAATAGCAAAAGGAGTCGAAACCTAATTTGGAGATATTATAGGTGCTAACTTTAAACCAAACATTGATGATTACAACTTTATGCCTCAGATGGTTTTCAGATAGGAATCAATCACTCTTATTTTGATGAAGGACTTCGTCTGTGCCTCAATCATGGTATTTGTATTCTAGTATATCAACTATCTTTATTTGAATCTATTCACTGCGAAAAAATACAATGATAAAGTTTTATATGAAGACCAAATTGCTGTTATCTAGACAAGTTTGAATGCTTACAAACAAATTAATTTTTTCGGGACAATCCTTTCATGTTCATACATTCTGAACTTTGTCTAGAGACTAATTTACAATCAATTTGCTGGGAAAAAATTAGACATTGATTTGTGGATTGTATTTGATTTAACTGCTGGAATAGCCAATATCATTGCATTCAATATCATAGGAACGGCAGAACCTTCACGCTTGCTAGACTAATAGTATAAATGGTCCCTGGACTATTACATGATATTAGTCCTTGTCTCGTCTTGGTTAAGATATTTCAGCTATTTCATGATCATCAATCCAATTGCCAAGGTCACATTGACTCTATTCAAAATGCTCTTCGAGACCATCCCATTTTTCGTTATTCTAATCTCATACTTGTGTCTTATGACGACCATATTTATCCTGCTATTCAAAGACGCAAAATCACCAGATGCCTACGAATATAGGAATCTACTTACAACAGCAAGACAATTGATCAGTTTCTTTATTGGCAATTATGATACTATGGATATGGGAAATTACAACACTTCTCATTCAATCCTTGTGATAATTCACATAGTTTTTTCCTACATTTTCTTGATGAATTTTCTAATTGCAATTTTATCTCAAGTTTATGAGTCTATGATTAAAAATGGAGATTTCTATGCAATTTAGTACTCCTACATTTTTGTGACTAAGTACATTAAAGCCATCGGAGAGAGTAACGGCTATGAAAAACTAATTCTATTTCCACCCCCGCTTAACTTTTTCTTGATTCCATTAATACTCGTTTCGCCTAGCTAATCATGCGCCAAAATGGTCTCAAAGTACATAGGATATTTCTTTTTCTGGCTTGAGAATTGCATACTAATCTTTATTTTTATGATATACTTGATTGGCCTAGATTTATTTATCTTTGTTAAAACTTATGTACAAATCAAGAATATTGATGGTGTAAGTCACAAGTTATTTTACATGGGATTATGGACTTTATGTGGCTTTCCCTATCTACTATACATTAATCTAGTTGATACTTGTACATTGTTCAACATATTATGCTTTGAGAAGAGTGTAAGTTTCAATAACGAAGAGGAAGAGAAAAAGAAAATTATCCAGCACAAATTCTATATCTATAGAGATTGCATTAGGGCTATTAGATAACTTTATGAGGTTGCAGATGATACAACTATCATTTTCAACAAAAAGTAAAAGCTAGAAAAAATATTTACTCAGAGGTTGTCTTTTAGAGAGAAACTTAAGAAAGCAGATAATGAATAAGATTCCAATGATGCCTACATAGTTGATAAAGCCTTAATCATTCACACATATGCTCAAATAGCTTAGCATAATAAGTATATCTTGCACTACAGACAGAAATACAATGCCTTGAGAAAAGCCAAGTCAAATTAGTCTATTTTTAGCAACATAGATACTTCAATCATCACATAAAGAGAAGTTATCTACAGCGAGCCTAGAATCTCTCACGATTTCAAAACCTTTGTCAGTGATATGATGATGATCAATAAAAAAGACCCCTCTCAAATCTAAGAAGAAGAACGAGCTCGTATCTTAATGCAGAGTTAAACTGAGAGTATGACACCAGATGAAGCCAAGCTTGTTATCAATTTTTTGAAAAAGTTTGAAATAGTGAATAAAAATTAGTAGAACACGTCAATTAACCTAAAGGTAGTGTGCAAATGTTTTCCCTAGATATTCAACTTCCAATTTGTACACAAGATCGAGCTCTTTAACTTCGCATAAATGCAGAAAGTGCTGATTAAGTTTTACAATGATGATAAAGATGAGATGTTCAACTACTATGATAACAGAATGAAGTAAAGATTCAACATGGTGAAGATAAACCAAGAATATAATAATCAGATTCTGGAGTATATAGGTACTGCTTCTAGATTCATCAAGGATCACCACTTCAAAGATGGTATATATACTGAGGAGAACTAAAATATCATTAGAGACTTTTCATTTAAAAAGATGTCTAGTCCAGAGCTAAACAACATGAGCAGTCTCTTTGTGCCAGTTCAAACTAGACTTTTTAACCTGGCTAGGCCTTCTTAACATATACCAGAAGTTACTGATAGCATTTAGACTGAGCAAGATACAATGCATGAAAGCAGCAATAATACAACTCTACCTAATCAGAGGAAACGTAGCTCTAACATTAGGAAAAGATCAATTTTTATTAAACCTAGCAGTCCTTTCGTGGTCGAATCAGATTCAAAGACTCAGAGCATTAAGGATGATTCGAATGCTCTGATCAACTTGATTTCATAATTCCCTATTCCATAGAAATATAAATAAAGTCTAGAGGACAAGGCAGATAGAGACCAGTCTGATAATGATAGTAGTTAAGTTGATACACAGAAAAAAGAAAAAGAGCCATAGTCTAATAAAAGCTAGCTTGAAACATTGAAAAATACTTATGATTCATAGCCAAATAGCTTTGAATTTACACTATCAAATGGACATTAGGTTTTAGCTGATGCTCAGGCCAAGATCAGAGAGGAAATGTAAAATTATTCAAAGAAAGCCTCGATTGAGAAGATTGAGAGAAGAATGACTACTCAGAACACTAGAAATGACTATGAAAATACTGAGAGAAAGAATAAAATTATATAGAACTACATTCAGAGTAAATTAGATTTGGATCTGCAGCAGTAAATTTCAGTGTAAAAAGAGCTTTAAGAGCAAGAAAGGCTTAAGATACAAAGGGAGCAAAACGCAAAATTTTCTATGAGATTGCTGCAAGAAAATAGTAAGACCAAAAGAAAAGATATAACATTACTATCATTGTCACAAGACTCTTCATCTGAAGACTCTGGGTTGAATTGAAGAATTTTTATAAATTTAACTTAGGGGTAATGGGTGGTTTATCCTTAATATAACATTTAACAGATATATAACCTAAATATAATGCTTACTTAAATAATTTAATTAAATCTATTTGCAGATTATAGATAGAAAATGGGGTTTTGGGGTTTTGGGGTTTTGGGG